TGATGGTATTCTTTGTATGTGTTCAAGTGACTTGTATTGGATGGTAGTGTACTCGGTATGGGACTACGTATCCAAGGAGTTTCAGTTGTTGGATCAGTTGATCCTTGAGCTATACTGATGGGTTATTTTTCCGGGTACCTGATGGTACATTTGATAGGTCGGATGGTTCTCTTAATTTCAGTTGTGGGTGTTCAGCTATGATATAGTTATTGAAGGCAGTAGTTGCCAGAGATGGTTTTAAGGGTATTTTGGGATAGTGATTGAGCTAGTATGTTGGCTCGTTGAGTGGTTTTGTAACCACTATTTTGTGGGCTTTAAGACGTTTAGCGCGAACTGTGTGAGGCGCTGCTGGTTGGACCTACTGTGTATGGGATCCAACAGCTTTCTAGTGGAATGTCTCGTGTGGATAACGTTAGTGCAATTTTATGAATCGGGTTGGTTTTGACCAGGGTTGAGTGTTTCTTTTGATCTTACATGCGGAAGTAGATGGTTGAGTGTCGTGGTGACTTAGATTGAAGGATTCTTTTTGTGATGCGTGTTGTCGTGAGGGTTGACTGAAGTCGTTGTTTGTGGATTTAGTATCAACTAATGATATGCTATGGTTAGAAGGATGGCAATCCTATTAGTTCTCAGAGGTCAGGATTCAAAGGAGTCACAGAGTTGGTTGGGGGCTTGTGCCTTGTGTGCATGTATGTGGCAGTAGAAAATTTTGTTCGGCATAGGGTGAGCCCTTATGCCAGTTTATGTTAAGGGGGATGAGATTACGTGTGGCTGTGGTTACTGTTCGGTCAGGTTGTGTTGGGTCACAAGCATAGGGTTGCGAGTGACATGGGACATTGGATTCTTCGTGTTGGGATTTTGAGGTATAACGTGTTGCGTGGGGTACACGGAGACGTACTATGGTTTTGTATCCTTTTGTCTTTCACTTGTGAGGTGGGTTGATTTCGGGACTAAATCTTTTAAAATTGGAGAAATTGTAATGTTACCGATTTTCCCTATTTTATAATTTCGGGAATTTATTTAATTTTTCTGAATTATTTTAATCCTTTCTTCATTTGGCGTGCCACGCGGGCCCGAAGGGCGTTTTGGTCATTTTCTTAAGCTGAGGGTTTTAGAAGTGTGTTATTAATCATTTTAAGTCAATTAGAAGCGATGGTATCATTTTCAGAAAAAAAAATTCAGAACTCGGGATGATTTCCGGATTAGGGAAGTTCTCCTGGTTTTCTTATCTTAAGTGAGGGGCATCATCAGCATTTCACATGTATGTGTGTGTGTTTATATACATGTATGTATGTTGTATTAGTGGTGTTTAATGGAGGGTGATATTTTATGGTATTGCTGAGGTTATAAAGGAGTTTAGAGGGTATTTTTGTCATTTTGGTCTCATGGACCAACTTAGAAAGTTCTAGAGACCAAAGGGGTTGCTTGATTTTAACCCATTCTTTTCTTTCCCTTCATTCTCGGCAGACACGTTCTTCCTCTCTCTATTTTCTTTCTCTCACTATATTACCCTCTTCCTTCTCTCTAGAATTTCTTCATGCTAGAAGAAGATTTAGTTAAGCCGGAATTAGCAAACTGTAGATCATTGCAAGGGCTACGTTTTGGTACTAGTATTACAAGCTTTTGGTGGGATTTGAGTTTGGGGCTTGGAGCTAGGGCTTGCTGAGGCCTTGTTCGGTTTGCTATCTTGAGGTAGGGGAAGTCTTAATTACGAATTCCTATGGTTTTAGTGAGTTTCCTATGTGTTCCTTACATTTAAATCTTGTTGGTGTGAGCATGTATAGTTCTGTTAAGTAATTAATTGTGAAGCATGATTTATTCTTGATCTACATGATTAGTGATGAAATGGTTTGCTGAATTGTGAGATTCATGTATAATGCTATGGCTTGTATTCCCATCACCCCATTTCGTGATCTCCTCTTCTTTGGTGGTGGCTCACGGGATTTTTAGGAATGTATTTTAGGCTTTTTCTACCGAGCTGTTGAGCTCACCTTATTATCATTAACAATTTTTCAGAAATTCGGAGGTGAGCCGATGAATGATATGCATCCGAGGGCATTGATCTAGATAGGAATACATTTCATTTTAATTGTATTAAAGTTATGTAATTTTGGCCATGGAGGCCTCATCTTTATTGTATTTTAATTCTTTGGAAATTGTATAAAATGGGACTATGTAATTTTTTTTATGATGAATGGGTAATGGAGTTATTTTTTTGATCAATTGTAAATGCCTTTCAATTATATATGTCACGTTTTATTGACGTGAGTTGGGTTCGGTTGCACAACAAGTTGTTTATTAGGTTCGGCTCCCTAAGAGTCCAGGGTTCTGGACTATCAGGTTGCATATAGCAGCTATCCAGGGCCTGTTGGCCGGCTAACAAGGAGAAATAGCTGACCGACATAACCATCCGAGGACCTTCCAGAGAGTTCCATGGTGAGAGGTCTTGTTTCAGCCGGCTGAACCTTACCATTAGCCGAACCTAGTCTTCAGAATGGTCGAAGGCCAAACCTTGTCTTCAGAACGGCGGAAGGCCGAACCTTTCCTTCGGAAGTGCCGAGGGCCGAACATTTCCTTCAGAACGAACGACCATGCAGGTCAGACCGACCGACCGAGGGCTATTAGCTGGCCGACCCTTCCTCACTGACTTGCACATTTGACTCTTTCTCCTTGTAAGGTTGTGTCTTAGAGCATTTTGGACAATGGATTGACTCGTCTGACAGTTATGGACACATGAAATGGATGGTATGACTTAGTTGACCTTGGGTTTGGGTAAGGACCCGGTTAACGGTTCGGACCCACAGGTTCGGGTCGTTACACTATAAGTTATACATCCTAACACAAAATGGCAATTGGAAACCCTTTTTAGTTCCATCTATACTTGTGAAAGATCAACATCCACCAACTCTTTCCTATGACCTGAAAAATGTAGAGGAGTGAACACAAAACCTAGTAGAGATTGCCTAAGTGGCATCTCTTCAAACAATGTAAGTAATCACATGTCTTGCATACAATGAATATGAAGGAAAGAAAGGGATTATGCAAGGGATTCACATACAACACTTCCATCCTTAAATAATCATCATCATCATCTACATGCAACGCAATGCATGAAATGCCCAATGCAACCACACACCATATACATACCCTCACATGTGTACACACCACATCCACACCCTCACATATCCACACACAAGTCTCTCACCTACACAACTCTTATGCTCATTAATACCATTGTGCCATGCATATAGAAATGTTTTCATTTCAATTAATCACTACTCATTATGCTTCCATAATACAATAGACAATTCTATGGTCACAACAAGATTAATTCACATTTATAGCATGCTTCAAATATTAAAACATCATTTAGCATATGAGTAGTAAAAAACATCACAACAACTATATAAGGAAAAATATCTAATCCATCACATAGAAAGTTAATAACATTTTCTTTAAAATTTATACTCAAGATTAACATATAACCCCATGGAACACATCAATTTGACAAAGCTCAAACATAAACCAAACCCTGGAATCAAATCACACAATTAGACATCAAATTTACATATTAAAGATGGGAAAAAACATTCAATCAACTACCAAACTCAAGAAATATGACAATTAAACAACTCTACCTTGATTTGAAGTAAAAGCCCCAATTTCCCCAAATTTCAAAATTCACCAAAATCACCCAATTGAAAATCTGCTTCGATCATTTTGTAGCTCTCGTCTAACTCTACAACTTTGCCTTAAATGGCAAAGATCAAATCCAACTAGAAATGAAGAAATCTTGACTTAAATGTATGAAATTTAGAGAGAGAGAAGGAGGTTGGCAAAAAAACAAGAGGAAGGAATGACCAAAAGAAAGGAAAATGTGGTATTTGTATATGCTTAGTAAACCATGGGTTCTACTTGTTTCAAAAATATCTTTTTTGCCTCATTCATTATATATATGCTACAATTACACATCTAAGAACATACCCATATAAATATACATCAAGTAATAACAATGAAATGCATATGAACCCAAAAAGAATGCCCACGCACGAAAAATCTGGATACGGGACCCACTCGAGACCTCCCGGTCAAAAAAATCCAAAAAATACCTAAATGACCCAAAATACATTTCTAAGAGTTCTAAACTCATATAAATGCCCTAACCAACTCTCGGGATTCACACGACACAACCCATGGTGTCCAGCACGCAAAATGAGTCGATAAATAAGTAAATTCAAAAAAACTGAAAAATACTTGAAATTTAAAAAAAAGAAAAAATAACGAAACGTTACATTATTTCTTTAACTCATTCTACATTCTCCATCTCGCTAAAAAAAAATTGTTGAACATTTGCAGAGTACAATGAGCACTCATATGAACATTTGCAAAGCATAGTGAACACTCATTTGTTTTCATTTTAGTTTTTCGATGTTCTCCTCAACAAAATTTTCTTTTGGGTCTTCTTTATTTTGATATTTTCAATAATAATGTCTTTGTTTTTCAACTGGATTTTCTTTATTTGTCATAGATTTCTTTCTTATTCACGGTATTTTAAGTTTAAACCATCAAATAGTTGCTAATTCCCATAGTGAGAATTTCAATAACGTGAAAAATGACATGTGCTTTACCAAAGGCTTCATTGTGTATATGTGTGTGTGTGTATACGTATAAATCCATACATATATGATTCTATAGGTCGAAAGTGGTAGTGTGGATGTTACTGGTGATGGTTGGTGGTGATGGAGAAAAAAGAGGAACAGTGATAAAAAAGAAAAATTTATTGGGTAAATTTAGTGGGCAAAAGGGTCATTTACTATTTCTAGATATTATGATAATTTTTAATAATATACTAATAAGGGTAGATAAGTAAATTCAATATAAAGTCTGACACTAGGGGTCTTTGCAAAAAAAATTACAAACCTCTATGTTCAATTGCAATTAAGCCAAACCTCGGGAGGTCATTGTAGTTTACCCTTTTTTTCCTTTAACTGAACGAACTTTACAATCCTCAACCGCATGTAAATCTCAAAGACTCAGAAGTCCTCGTCTCCCTAGATCAAGAAGACCCTTGGCACTGGTCGATCCCAAATTCCAGCCACAAACCCTAGAAACAGACGAACAAAAATGACGATCTCTGCAACTGCAAGATCGTCTTTGACCCATCTCATCTTCCTCCTCATAACTCTCACCACTCTCTTCAACACCGTCACTTCCGAGTCCGACTCGGACCGAGTCGCCGAGCTACTCAACCTCCAATCCCAATCCGAATCGGGGATCATCCACCTCAACGACCAACTCCTCAGCCGCTTCGTCACCTCCTCCAAGCTCTCCCGCTCTTTCTCTCTCGTCATCTTCTTCGACGCCGTCCAACTTCACGACAAGAACGAGCTCCGCCTCAAGGAACTCCGTTCCGAATTCGCCCTCCTCGCCTCCTCCTTCATCTCCAACAACAAAGACACCCCATCTGAATCCAAACTCTTCTTCTGTGACGTCGAGTTCAAAGAGTCCCAAGCCACCTTCGCACAGTTTGGCGTTAACGCCCTTCCTCACATCCGCCTCGTCGGCCCCGATGCCCGCAACCTCAAGGATGATTCGCTTCAGATGGACGCCGGAGACTTCTCTCGCCTTGCCGAGTCCATGTCCGAATTCATCGAATCCAAAACCAAGCTCACCATCGGCCCCATTCATCGTCCCCCAATTGTTTCCAAGAAACAGATTATGTTTATGATCGCGGCACTGTTGATTTGGTCGCCTTTTGTGGCGAAAAAAGTACTTGCCGGAGAGACCCTTTTGCATGATTCTAAGATTTGGCTGGCCGGTGGGGTTTTCGTCTACTTTTTCAGCGTTTCGGGGGCTATGCATAATATAATTAGGAAGATGCCCATGTTTTTGACTGACCGTAATGATCCGTCGAAGCTGATATTCTTTTATCAGGGATCTGGGATGCAGCTTGGAGCGGAGGGATTTACGGTCGGTTTTTTGTATACAATTGTGGGGTTGTTGTTGGCGTTGATGACACATTTGCTGGTGAAGGTGAAGAACAAGACAGTGCAGAGGGTAGTTATGATGATTGCCCTGTTGGTTTCGTTTTGGGCAGTCAAGAAAGTTGTGTTCTTGGATAATTGGAAGACTGGTTATGGGATTCATGCGTACTGGCCTTCGAGTTGGAATTGATATCAAAGAGGATGCAGTTGAATTCGTCTACTCGGCTCTAGTTATAGGTAAGTGTTCTGTACTAGTTAAATTAATTGTGACTTGGTGTAATGCCATGGAGGCTTGAGCTTCTCAAAGTGCGAATTACTGATACAAAATAGGTGACAGAATAATTTCAGCTTGTGTAGTACTTTGATGAATGTTTGCTCTTTGCTCCAGACATTTATCTGCAGTTTAATTTTTGAATGGCAATCAAATGCTATGCTATGTGGTTGTGTCTCATCTTTGGTTTGATGTTGTGATTGCTCTTCTTTGTTCTTATTATTGTGACTTGTTCTAAAGTATATTGTGATTGTTGTCTCAATCTATCATAGACGTATTTTAATTATCCCCTTGCTCTGCATGAGCAAAAATCTAATCTTTTATACAAGATTAATAAGTTGAACAAGGAGGATTACATCGGCAAACGATTATAGAGGATTAGTGAACACCTGCAGTTGTGACATTGACATGTTGTGTCGTATTGTTTTCATTAAACAAAATGAGAAGATGGCTAAAACTAAAAAGAGCATTGGGAACTTGACATTTAGCTGAGTTGCATTGCTAATTATTTGAAAGTTTCCTTTAGTGAATTATAGTGTCTTCTATAGTTCTATGACAAATGATCATCATTCACAAATAGCATTGCAGTAGGTGAAAGGATTGTTGGTCATGTAATTGTCAGATTCAAGCCCAAAATATGTTTTCAAATGAACGACCTATACACGAACAGGTTAGTTGACCTCTAAATGGCTCATTAATAGTTTTTTATTGGTTAAGTGAACTATCCTTGAGCTCATTCATTAAACAAGCTAAACGTGAGAAAGGCTGAGCTTGGCTTGGTCATTGGTACTTATGCATTGTAAGTTAGAGATCTTATCCGTACCTTTCATTATTGCTGTATTGTAAGTTGGAGATCTTATCTGTACCTTTCATTATTGCTCTAACCTGTAGACTTGATCTAATAGAATTTGACATACACCGGAAACTAATGATGTTATCGTTTATAGATGAAGAGTTCCTTTTCATCTTTTTGAGATCAATATGCAAATGAGTTTGAGCGAAGCTAAAACTAAAGCTTGGTCACAGTGCTGATCCAAGCCAAGCTTCCTTGAGCCTGTGTCAATTGTGAACACTGATCTATCGTCACCAAGCTTGAGCCCAACAGCCCAAAGTTCGGCTCAACTTTGTTCATTTGTGTCCTAATTAGAATAGTTGCTCACTAGGAAAATAGTTGCTCACTAGGAAAATTTCCTAGGAAAGGTATATGATTCCAGTATTCCATCGCCGCTGTTGTGAGTTTTCATGCTCATGTTCTTTTTTTAGCATGTCCCTCAAGCACCAGCATTCTACCCCTTCCAGACCAGGCTGTCCTACCTATTTTGAGCGTGGTGATGTTGTGATTGACTTAGTAGCATTCCTCAATTATTTTTCCTTTTTTCAGGTTTTGTTTCTGGAAATTGATATTAAGCAAATAATTCACGACAGGTAATAAAAGAAGGGAGTGTATGCAAAGATGCATCACTTTATCCCTGTATATTCTGGTTGAATTTCCCCCAGTTTTCTTGTCAAAAACATAATTGAATTAGATTCTTGCCAATGAAAGGTACATATTACCATTTATTTTTGTTGTCTTAGAAGTTTGTGTAAACTTTTTATTTTCCCTATTCAAATTTCAACGTTTTTAATATTGTCAACACACTCTTGTACCTAAATAAAAGTATTGCTTCTTAAACTTCCTTACATACTGTATCTTAATCTAATTTGCTTGAAAGAAGAGTATTAAAAGAGGATGTGAATGTTTGGTTGTTTGTACAGGCTTAAGACATCTATTGCATCATAGAAAATTTATCTAGTGTTTTATGGTCAATATCATATAATTACAGTTCCAACTAAGAAATAGATCAGGTGTGATCTACTACTGTATGTTTAAGTTGGCTTATCTCATGGACGATCTCTAGCATGTCACTCTTCTTCACTTGACTCCCACCAAACTCGTACCCTGGTGCATCTGTTGTGATGCGTCTTTAAGTCTGCCAGGGTGCAATGGGGGTTCCTTGAGTTTGCCAGTTCAGTGTGTGCTCACAATGTATTTCATCACAACCTACAACTGAATCTTTTGGGTTTTATAGCTTTCTGATATGTATTACCATTTACCAACTGCAATATACAGTTTTGTTGACACCACGTGTCATCCAACTCACCTCGGAATAGTCTCCTATATGTGATACGTCCATCTCCACCACCAAACCAAGACAACTTCACCAGCATGCCCTCCACAACACCCTCCAAGTTAATACTAGACTAAGATTAACTAAGCATGTGATTCAGGAAGTTGTATTATTATTTTTCGGACTTTTAATTTTTTTTTTTTAAATACTTGTTACTGTTGTAGGTGTTTCTTTTTTCTTTTCTTTTTTTAATTTTATTTTATGTACTCCGCAACGTTGAGAGTTCCTAATCCTAATGAACAAATTGGTATTATTATCATATCTCAACATAAACATACGGGTAAGGCTGTCCACATCTCATCCTCCTTTTCCGACCTGGCGGGAGACGAGACTTGACTTGTGTAGTGAGCTAGTAGATAACAATACCAACCACTGAACCAATGAGACGAAAGATGGAAGTTACTGTAGTTGATTGTTTGGGGAAATGGGCCTGTCCATGTATACAGTAATGGGGATTGTGGGTGGGCACTGTAGATGTGTGTGTACCATATTAGGCCTCGCTTGGATGGGCTGGACAGGTTAGACGATCCGCAAGGTAGCCTTGGTTTCATAGTGGCTGCAATATTGCTAGGCTATCTCTAAATCACATAATTTTTCTAATCAGGAGGAGCTTCGCTGCCTCTAGAATTTTGCGCTTTCGTGCTCTTACTCTGTGACTAAGGGCTATGATGCAGCTGTTCTGTTGACTGAATTTTACAAATAATGCTAGTAGTTGGTAGAAAGCCCATGAATGGAGAAGCCTACATCGTAACAGCCCAAGGCCCAAATGCCCCATTAAACAACACAATTTACGGTTGGGTTGGGTCCTAGAGAATTGTTGTTCCAATATTTTTGAATTCTTGAGGGTGATTGCACATCATACCCAACATTACATCACCTAAGCAACCTAACGATCCACCCAAATTTCGTATATTTATAAAATAATGATTGACAATCAAATTTTAAGGTCATAAATCTCATAATTAATACGTCAATTGAGCACCTGACAGGTGCACATAATTACACATTAATACACATAATTAATATATATATATATATATATATATATATATATATATATTATTGACAATTTTAATACTTCGACTTAAAATTGACCGAGATAAAAATATGACGTGATATTATAAAATTTCAAACTTAAATAAGTATTATTACTACTCGTGTTTGTTTCCATAAAATACATCGTTTATTTTTATTTTTATTTTTAATTTATAGAGCATGTGTACACACATGTACTATTCAAGTCAGGAGTGCGGTTGGAAGCAAGACCTCAAGGACTTATCTCTCGGGTTACTGCCAACACTGCTATGCCTTTGGGGATATCTTCTTTTTCGTTTTCAGAACAACTTTCATGATACTCAAATATAAGAATTTGATTGGTACAAAATCTAAAATAAAGAATACAATATCTTTCAATTTTTCAATGTTTTGTAATTTTTCTTTAAATTTCTTTCTTTGTTTTTGTTTACAGAGTCACATAAATCATTAGTTTTGATCATTAAATGCAATCTTAAATATTTATGCCTTAGAGAAATGCAACCAACAAAGATATATTAAGATGAAACTTAAAAAATAAATTATAATTTTTTAAATAGTTAATTATCTTATATTTTAAAATGAATTCCATTTTATTATATTTGATGGACAAATAACCACATAGAATAATGAAGCAATAAATTTTTATTTTTTCTAAAAAAAAGTGGCCAAAATAAAGAGAGTCAAACATGAGACTTTCGTCTTGTGTAATTCTTAAATATTATGTCAATTCTTATGTCTCCCTGAAATTTAGTTTTCTTTTAAGAATTGCATCTGATAACAATGTGAGCTGATGTAGCATTGACTTTAATTAAATGTGATTAATTTTCTGTTCAACTGTCACATCACATGTTTCACCTATGCTGCCATTATTATTATTTTTCCTAGAGAAACTAAAGATTAAATACGAAATCATTCTTCTCTGATAATGATTAAATATTTAACATTGACCAGCATTAAAATTCCATATCAAGTAATGCAAGATCTAATGTTGTCGTTATAAGCAACTTCATCAAACGTGCCTCCAATCATCTCTAATTCTTTCCTAACATATCATAGAAAATACCAAAATAATTAGGTGGGATCTCAAAGCCTAAGATATCACATGAATGTGATCTTAGTAGATCAATATGTGGCATCATATATATATATATATATAAGTAGTTATGAATATTAAAATACATATGAATTTTGGACTATGATAAAAGTTGGAGAGCTTACAAAAGTTTGGATGCAGATTCAGATTTAATAAGTATAAAAATAGAGCAGTGTTAGACATCTTATATTAAAATTTGAGATTCGATCGTAATTCTGATGCGGCGATAACTAAAAAGATATTAATTTCTTCTAATTTAATACATATTGTTTAGCAAACAGAATATTGAAATAGTCAATTGAAGGAAAAGGAAAGAACGAATATATTTTTTCTCTCTATCTTTAATTTGTTTTCCTCTAGTAATTTTTTTTCAATATATATATATATACAATTATATATTTTTTATATATATTCTCTTAACCACTCCTTATATTTTCAACAGCACTATTAAATTGTAATTAAAAAATACAAAATCAAAATACAATTATAAAATTTTTAAGTGAATTATATAAATTAGGATTCTTATTACCAGAAAGAGATCATTCATTAATGGTAAAAATTTATAACTTTTAGTTTTAATTATTTAAAAATTTAATAAAAAGAGTCTCCTAAAGGAAGATGAATTCAAGTTATTAAGTTATATTATGATTTGGATTATGTAATCATAAGTTTTGCTATTTTTTTTATCTTTCCTATATTAATATCTTTCCTATATTTTAATTCAAGATAAAATCAAAAATTAAAATTTGCAAAGTATAACACTTTTCCATAAAAAACAATAAAAGACAACACCTTTGCAACAAAGAATGGAAATATATGCACATATAGAGATGAGTTCGATTATAAAATTTCCATTTGCAAAAAATCAATAATATTTAAAGATAGGATCTTCATGTGGATGGCAAGAAAATAAATAGTGATAAGGACAGGGTGTACCACAAACTTTCTTGAATAGGTACTGGTCCATGAACATTGCAGTCAGAAGCAAATTTTGTTTTTTATTTTTTGAAAATTCAGTTTTATTTTATTTGAAAACAGTTTTATATTTTCAGAGCTATAAACTAAAAAATACTTCATATTACCAATAAATTTTAAGATAAATTAATTCTTAATAGTATCTAATAATGACCAATAATGACCTTTAAGTTAGAAAAAGATGATTAGTCATCAAATCCAAAAATTAGTTAAGGGCAAGTGACCATTTCTGTCATATTTGAAAAATACCTTTCTTTAAATAAATCATTTTCTATTGAGATAAATTTTCCTTGAAAACATAGTTAAGGTCATGACAAATCATTGCAATATTTCAGCATGGTGTGTCCATACTTTGCACTCATTAATTGTGGATTTAAGCATTTATAGGAGTAGATTATTTGAAATTGAATCCACTAATGAATGATAAAATTTTGAGAGGTCTAGCCGGATAAGCATCAAGAGTGACTCCAAATAATTTGGATTTAATAATATATTAATATTAAATAATATTTATTTAAAAATCATTATTCTTACTTTGTAGAAGCAAAATTACTAATTAGATTCTTGTATTTAAGTTTAGTTAAAATATACAAATATATGAAATATATATATATATAAGACACACAAATTAATAATAACAAAAGTTAATAGAACTAAAAAATAATTAAAAAAAAAAAAGAATAATAGAATCTGATTTAGAAAATCTCAATTAAATACTTTACAAATTCTTCAATAGAATAAAAATGAGTTCAAATTGAGGGTAATGAGTAAAGAGAACTAGTGAAAAAAAACAAAGAAAAAAACAAAGAGAACCATAAAAATTGTAATGAGAGGGGAGTGAGATGACTTGATGCGTGACGATAGAAAGTATATGAGAAATAAAATAATAAAAAAAGATTAAAGGTAGAAAAAGAATATAAAAAGTTTCACTACTTTTCCCAAACAATCATTAAATACATATTTAATATTTACTGTGACAATATAATTTACCAAAAAAAAAAGAAAAAAATTAGCATTGTTGTAAAAAATGCGAATGAGAGAGAAAAAAAAAAAAGTTATATAAAAATATAAATATTTGGGACTAATATTAAGATTAGTACGAGGAGGATAGAGAGGAAGAGATAGATAAAAGAAAAAAAAGAAAGAAAAGTCAGGATATAAATCTTTGGTGCCGAATAATTGTTTACAGTTAATTAAATTTAATTAAAAAAGTGAATGAAAAGGAGAGAAAAAAGAGAAAATAAAAAGTTATTTTAGGATATAAATTTTTGACTCCCAAATTAAATTTTTTTATTGATTAATTTTTAATTATATTAAAAAATAATTATAATATAATTTTTAATAAATTTAAAAAATAATTATAATATAATTTATGTAAGGAAATTTAAAATTTTTAGCTCCTTCCAAATTGGAGTCAACATACTCCTTAATGGATATCTAGGATCTTTTCTATATATATGTAAAATTTTCTATATATATATATATATTTATTATTTCTGTCTGATATTTTGTTAGCATATTAAGAGAGTAGTTGCAACTTTTAGTACCCGTCTAATACGAAAAACAGAAAAGGACACAATACCCGCGAATTACTCCCTCACCAATACACCAACACGCAATACCCTTCTGGCTCCACCCAGAAACATTTTTTTTCACATAAATTGTTTATTTATTTATTTATTATAATGTAAATTTATTTGCCTCTCTCGCTCTCTGTCCATCACAACCATCATCCCCTCACCCTTCACTCGTTTGGGAGATTTTCGTGGTGTCCACCTTTTTTCCATTCTTCTTTCTTTTTTCACTTTTCTCCTCATCTTCTTCTCATCTCTACAACAACAACTTTAAAATCAAATCAAATCAAATCAAATCAATCTCTCACATCATTAATCATTATTATCTTATCATCATCCGATCTTGAACACTCCCAGAATCTGTTCTCTCTTATTTTCTCTCCCTTTCCCACATATTCTTGTTTGGCTTCTGGTCTTCTTTTTTTAGGTATAAACATCAATAAAGTTGAGAAAAAAGAGGGAAATTTTGTGGAATGCCATTACCAATTGAAGGAGAAGTTGCTTCTCCTTGTTTATCTTCAACGTCTCTCCGAAAAGGTAATATTCTCTCATTTATTGGGTTGTAGACACACATTATGGGTTACATATTCCATATTTTGATACCATTCCCATTTCAAAGGCAAACTGTTCCTGAAGGCACATGTGATGCACCTTCTTTAATACTCATTTTTTTCCTCTCTCTTTTTATGTTTTGTTTTCCCAACATCCATGAAAAAGGTGAACAATTATGAATGCCCATCTATGTTTCTTTGCTTTTAACAGGCAAAGAAACCATCTCTTCATATTAACTGTTTCCTCCTTTATTGTGTCAATACCTTATAAGAGCTAGCCCAGTTGAATTGCATTTGCAGCTTCCACCATGGCAATGAAAATCAAAGGGATCTGCAAAGGATTCAAATACATCTCCCAAATCTTTGGTAATGCCTTCAATTGCCCTCCCTCTCTCTCTCTCTCTCTCTCTCTCTCTCTCTCTATATATATATATATATATATATCATGTAGTAGTATGTATTTTGGGATTATTTTCCTGTATGCTGCAATGGGTATTGGTGCTCTGGGTTTAAGGTGAAATGGGTGATCTTTTGCAGTTGTGAAGGAGCGTGAGATGGAAATTGGATACCCAACAGATGTTAAGCATGTTGCACATATTGGCTGGGATGGCCACTCTGGTAGTGCACCCAGTTGGGTATGTATTCCACATTTATGTATCTGTGGTACCTTTTCTCCTTCATTTCATTCTCTCATATAATTTGGTGTTTATCACTTTTTTTATTCCCTAATTATAATTCTCTATGGTATTGTATGGTTTATTGGGTGGAAAATGTAGATGAATGAATTCAGGACAGACCCTGATTTCGCGACAACATCTATTGGTAATGTTAACGAAACAAGAGGTCCCGGTTCTGCTCTCTCCACATGGTCATCTCAGGGTATATTGCTTCTCTTCTCTTCTATAGGTGTGTGTTTGTGTGTAATTCGAATAATAGGGTTTAAACTCCATGTCTCCTAAATGTAAATAATCATATGTTAACCGAAGATGGGGACGTCATTTGAGAAATGGCTAAGGATATTTTGAAGCTTTGAGAGCACATAATCTACTGTTGACATGATCATGTGTTTCATGGGTTGAAATGTTGGGGAGAACATGACAGATTTGTCCATTATTTTTGAGCCATCTTTGTTATACAAGAAAAAGTTCATATTCTTTGCGTCCATGAGTCTGAGTTCGGCTGTTCTGTCACGGGATGCTCTTATTGTAAAGCTAATCATCAACGAATGGAGCTAGAAAGAACCAGTCTTTTAGTGGTCCACACCAATTAAAATTTTTGGATTAGTGGACTTAAATATTTGTCTGAGATTAGCATCATTGCATACTGTGACAAAACAGCTGGCATATTTTTTTGATTGAAACATGATTGTTCGAATTAACCATTGCACATTTAATAAACTAGATACAACACTTCATTTGGGTTTTTTGATCCTATTTTCTGAATTCTGATGGCATGATGGTAAACTTTTATTGAAAAACTTATCACAAACCTTTTTTTTTTTGACGAAAATGTGTCGAATAGCTGATGTTTAGTTCATGGTATTAGAGTATGGACAGAGAAAACAATGTATTCAGCGAGTTCTTTGGGCTACAACTATGACCAAAATGATTGAACAGTTGCATATATATACTATTGCACAGGTGGATGTAGCTGAATTAAAGCCTAAAGTAAATTTCCTAAATTATAAGAAAGTGAACTGATTTAATTTTTTTCTTTTTCTTTTTCTTTTTCCTTTTGCTTTCTTATTAAAGGTAAAAGTTTTGCTCTTTGATAAATGGATGTATGGTATCAATTGTTCTGTCCTAGTGTGGTGGCTGATTATGTATTGAAATGAATTTTGATTTTGTGAACACCTTGTGTTCGTTGCCAGTGTGGTGAGTTTACAGGTGTAAGTGAAAATTTTCTGTTCTACTATTCTTATATATATCCTCCTTTTTCTCCTTTTATTGTGACTTGGTTAGCATGTATAATCTTATGGCGAGATGGAGTGTGAATTTCTCATACTTCAAAAGAAAAATCAAACGTGTTCTTGCATAACAGTCTGATTATTGCCATTGTTGATCCTAGTGAGAAAGTTTTCCATATAAATCAATGTCGGGAAAATACTTGGAAATATTGACTTCTCCATCACATTGATTTGTTATTGTGACATTTTCCATCTATTTGTGATAATTTTCATTCAACCAATAATGCTATTCTCTATTTAGTATTTTCCACCTAAATTATTATTGAAACATGTTTTAACCAATACCAAAAAGTTTTTACTGATTATATGATATTTGCATACATGGACAATGTCTGGAGTTTGTATACTTAATTCTGGTAGGGCATTTCATTCTGTTTTACTGTACTGTTTAGAAATAACCTTCTTAGCATTTCTTACGGTTTTATTTCAAGTTTTTCCTTATTTCTATGACCTCTTGTAACAGATTTCGACCAAATGGAACGACAACCAGTTTTTGAGACGTCCAAAGACATGCTACCTACAGATCTTCCCAATATTCCAAAGAAACAGAAGCGGAAAAAGACCAAGTCAAGTAATTCTTCCCCTAAGTCTTCCTCTTCCACGTCAAGATCGTCACGATCAGCAAAATCGAAGGCTAAATTTGCTGAGACCACCCGACATACAAATTTAGAAGTGGTGTAGGATTATAAAGTTGGAGCCAGGATAGAAGAATCTTCAATGAGCATTGCAGAAGAATTTTCAATGCGCATATCAAGATCATGATGTTCGATGAGGATGCAGGAAGTTGAGAGATGATGTGTAAATTTAGAAGAACAGGCCATGGTATTTAAGTGAGACAAAAGTTGTAACCTGTTCAAGTGACAATGGGTAGGGAACATGCAATTCTTTTTTTCCTTTTGGGATTCATGACAGTTATCAAACATGTAAAAATATGCATCATTTAGTTGTGTTGTTGATTGAAATGATTTGTTCTTGCACATAGCCTCAATGGATTGCTCATCCCACTGGTTATGAATGACAATCAATTTATTACTTTAAAGCATCATAACACCACCTAGAATGCCAGAAAATTCAGTTTATTATAGGTTCCACAAACTGATACGGTCAAGGTAAACAGTGTTTTGAATCCTGTTTCCTATTTGATGATACAAGTGAAGCTATATCTGTCTTTTACTCCCTACATTTTCCCTCCCTGACATCTCACATAAACAGAATCATCGTTAGATAATCGTCTTTTTGGACAAATTATTCCATTTTGCCAAATGGTCATTTTTTCTCGAATTTCAAACCCGAATCTTCGGGTTTGTTTTTTATTTAAAAAATTTCAGTGTGGTGGCCTAGTCCGATTATGAAACGTGTAATTTTAAAACCATGAAACACTGACCAGGACATAATGGAATTGGGGTCACAAGGAATGAAAAAATACTGCATTTTGATAGGATTTATCCGAGTCTGAGATTAGAATCAAATCGGATTGACAATTGTATCAACGCAGAAGGATTTTCACATGAAGATGGGTTCTTAGCCACCAAAAAGTGTACAATAAGACAATTTCAGAGCTTCAAACAAGGGTATTATAGCCATTTAACGTTGTAAGGAAATTACAAAATTGAATGACGGTTGGTAGTTTTCCCCCGCCAATTCTGTCGCTAATATTGAGGAGGAGGTTTCACCTGACTTGGTCTTCACTTAGATCATATGGGTTTTCCTCTACGCACCTCTCAGAATCAGCCCCTCAGAGTGTCCACCTTACACTGCTTCAATTACTCTGAAACAATTCAACAATTACACCATTTGGCCATAAAAAAAATAACCATGTGTTGTTCTCTAATTTCATCCTGATATCGTCCACAATCATTTCATGAGAAAGAAAAATATTGAAAATGGCGCTGAAAATCCTAATCTCCATGTTCTTCTTGATCCCTTTTGCTGCAATGCCTGTGAGTAAAGCCCAAGACTATGACGAGGAAAAACCAGCCGCCCCACCTCCTGCGCAAGATCACTGTAATGGGATTTTTTTATCTTATGTGTTTGTTTCTCGAGAAAGAGAATATCCCTTCTTAAAGAATGTGAGCGCGCAAGCCTGGGCCTTCAGGTCCTTGGCAACAGTATTGAATGCAGGCACCACTGAACTTAAGGCATGGAAGATTTTCATTGGATTTCAACACCGAGAGATCTTAGTTTCTGCCAGTGGCGCAGTCCTAGTAGACCATGGTGATCTCCCCGCTCATGTAGGAAGAGGAGCTTACCTTGCTGGTTCACCTAAGACGGATTTGAAAACGTCCATTGACACTGCTGGAGATTTTGCCCAAATTCAGGTGAAAATCGACTTGACTGGCACTCTTTTTGGGGTTAAGCCACCTCGGATTCCAATGCCTAAGACAATACGGCTTGTAAATGATGGATATAGGTGCCCAGCACCACACATTCCTCGCCATTGTAAGTTCTAAAATTAAATGAGTCCGTGTATGTTGCCTCTTAGTCCTCGATCTTTCACATTCTAATTTCTTTGAACTCTTCTTTTCTTCCACAGCGAGTACAATGTATACATGTTGTGTGATGGATCCGAAATTTAAGCTCAAAGTTCTAAAAACCAAGTATTATCCACGCCAAAGTGGTGATCTTACCATATCCTACGACATAATGCAAGCGTATGACAGTAACTATCTTGCTCAAGTGACCATGGAGAACAATAACCCTTTGGGGCGTCTTGATCATTGGAACTTAACTTGGGAATGGATGAGAGGGGAGTTTATATATACAATGAGAGGAGCATACACTTATTTGAAAGACGGTTCCGGGTGCATTTATGGTGATGCCGGAGAATACTACAAAGACCTTGATTTTTCTCAAGTCATGAATTGCCAAAAGAATCCAGTCATCGTTGACCTGCCTCCGGATAGAGCTAAAGATGATAAAGTTGGGGACATTCCATACTGCTGCAGAAATGGTAGTCTATTGCCAACCATCATGAATGTAACCAAAGCCAAGGCCATATTTCAAGTGCAGGTCTATAAGCTTCCACCGGATTTGAATAAAACAGCTCTTTATCCTCCTGAAAAATGGAAAATTGTGGGCATACTTAATCCGAACTATAAATGTGGAACACCATTAAGGGTGGACTCAACAGAATTTCCTGACCCTAGTGGGCTGCAGGCCATCAGCATTGCTGTCGCAAGCTGGCAAGTAGTATGCAACATCACTAGGCCAAAGAACAGAGAGACTAGGTGCTGTGTTTCATTCTCTGCCTACTATAATGACTCTGTTATACCTTGCAACACATGCGCTTGTGGTTGTGGTGACTTCAAAAAGTGCAATCGGTTTGCTCCACCTTTGCTTCTCCCGCCAGAATCTCTTCTTGTGCCCTTTGAAAACAGAACACTCAAGGCTATAAATTGGGCGAAAATAAAACATTTTCATGTGCCTAATCCATTACCTTGTGGTGACAATTGTGGGGTTAGCATAAACTGGCATGTCAACTCTAACTATGGGAATGGATGGACTGCAAGAATTACTATATTCAACTGGGAGGAGATCAATTTCGAGGACTGGTTTCTTGCAATTCAATTGAAGAAGAAACTGTCGCGTGGTTATGAAAAAGTTTACTCCTTTAATGGAACATTGCTTCAAAACCTCAACTACACCATATTCTTCCAAGGCTTGCCCGGTATGACTTTTTTGACAGCTGAGGAAAATGGAACAAACCCAAGTGATCCCAAGGTACCTGGTAAACAACAATCTATCATTTCATTCACCAAGAAATATAACCCTGGCATCACTATAACCAAAGGAGATGGATTTCCTTCGAGGGTGTATTTCAATGGAGAAGAGTGCGTTCTTCCTACGCGGTTTCCTACACGAAATGGTGGAAATCAATGCAATGTAAATCAAGTAGTAGTAGTTTTTTCCACATTAGTGACCATTTTTCTGATGACAAATCATCTGCACTGATGGTAATGTAATGATCAGGTTATATATTTTAGCTACTTTAATTTCTGCATATATGTATATACATATGCCTCAGGTGAAAGATTCATTCAACACAAAACTAGCTTTGTATGCTGTTTTCTTAGCTCAGATCTTAGTTAAAGGTTATAGCAGTACTCCCAAGATCCTAGGTCTGATTTTGCATTATCTTGATTGTCATTGGCTTCAAGTCCTCCTTTTAGCCCGAATGACTCATAAAATGCACAAGTTTTGGAAGAAAGGAATTATAATATATTGTACAAGCTATTGAAAAGGGATTTAAATATGTCTAAGAAACAGAAGTGGACTTGGTGGAATATGAGTGAAGGGGTTATTTCAGCTAAGCAATCGCACCAAAATTCGTTTATCTTCATTGTTTTTATCTCTGCTTTTATTTTCCTAGTTCTTGGGTGACATGGCTCTTGTACTGCAGAACTTTGTCATGTTTGATAGTTGCTTCTCTTTCATATCCTGGGATATGAACTTCTATAATAGATTAGAAGCTCACTAACTTCATGTTTTAGTTTGAGTGAGCACACTTATTTTGCTGATTTCATTACCCTACTTCTTGAAATTCAGACCAAGCACTTCATTTATTACCATCTCTCTTGTCGATCACTACAGTGAAAAGAATATCTACATGGGGTGTCCCCAAGTGTCTCTGTGTTCTCCATGACCATACCTCTTAATAAAAAAAATTCTCAAACAAGCATATGGATTTTTAAGGCACTCACTTTTGTACGGCTTGTCTCCTCTCCTAGTTTCATTCCTTCAATACTATGCGTCATTGGTAGGGCACCAATGGAAAATGCTTTCAGCTGGCTTGTAATGTTTGTGATATATATGTATATATATTTAATGTTAAAAGAAATTATTTTAATTAGTGGGCCCCACCAATATGTTAAACATGAAAAAAAAAAAAAAAAAAAAAAAAAAAAAACAAAACAAAAAAGGCCTAATGGCTTTACCAAAAAAAAAAAAAAAAAAGGCTTAATGGCATTTAACCAGATAGCCTTCTCTCTCTCTCTCTCTCTCTCCAGTCCAGTGGCTTCTCTTTTCTTTTCGTTTTTTTTTTTTTTTCTTTTGCAATTTCAAGCTTTGATTCCTCCTTTCATTTTTTGAATTTTTGGGTGCCTTTGCGGCAAATTGAAGAGCACGGTGAGATCTACGTATGAGTACCAGCAATTTCAATTTTGGTGCACTCTAGGGATTTTGAAATTCTAGAGTTCTCAAATTGGAGGTTTTCATCAAATTTGAAGTAGGGGTGTTCTAATGCATAAATTCTTGTATTTTTGTGAGTTTTTAGCTTAAAGTGATGACTAACATGTTTAATTAGTGCTAATTCTTGCAAAGATTTGTTTAAAATAATAAGCATGGAATGTATGTGACTATTTGTTAATTGTTTTAAGGTGATTTAGCATGCTTACATGTTTGTATGAAATTGAATTTATATTTTACATGCTAGTTATGCAAAGTTAATATTAAATGAGAGCTCCATCATGTGGTTTATAAATTTGCCTTGTATAGTATGTGTGAAAGTTATATGGTTGGGTTGATAAATTGAAGTATAAACATTCATGCATTCATTAGGAAAGTGAAAGGGGAAAAAAAATATTTTTAAAACAAATGAAATTATTTTGGAGAAAATATTTTCTAAAACTGTTGCGAAAACCGGACGCCTAGGAGGTGTCTAGTGGTCCGTGATATTGGTGTAGTCTAGAAGGGAATGTAGTTGAGTTAACTAGGCCAGATGCGACGCCTTGGAAGTGCCTTGTGGTTGTGGATAATTAACCAACCTTCATTTCGTGAAGCCTTGGAGGTGCCTTGGGTCAGATTACACTAACGGTTTGATTGTTGAAATGGAATTGTTTCGAAAACGAGGAGTGGCATAGGCATGACATTGCACTTCATGGTACATGTGGGAAATTTGTGATTGGATGTTATTTATACTATGATTGTTATTGTGATTGAGATTATTGTTTTCCCAATGGTATGACCCCGTCCATTTTTATCCATTCTTTGTGTGGGATTCACGGGGATATAAGAAGTGTGTCTTAGACACTTCCTACTGAGTTTATGCTCACCCCATTATTTTTTTAAACATTTTTTAGGATATGGAAAAGAGGTAGCGAACGACGATCCACCACAAGTTTAGACGAGCTTGGGGATCTATTTTATTTTTGCTATCTTTTGTATTAGAACCCTAATATTTTGTAAATGTAATCTTAATTATTTTGTGAAACTTTAGTTTAATTGGTACAATGTTGTAAGTTATGGGCTTTTAAATTCTAGCTATATTTTATAGACAGTGTGTTCCTTGTTTGGATGAGAAAGAGGAACGGGACTTTTGTATGCATGTAGTCATTTTGGAAATGTGGTATAATATTTGTATTGTGCGTTGGGACAACATAGGTTATTTTTAAGGCCCAGTGAGGCTATTGCATTTTTTTTTTTTTTTTTGTGTATTTCAACAGGTTGTAGAGGGTTTTTTCTGCGAAGATCATACCGAAATTTTATATATTTTATCATTATTGTTTTGGTATTTTATGGGTCATTACATGGCTGATTTCGCAAGAAAGTTTCCTGTAACGACCCGACCCGAGGGTCCGAATCGCTAATCGGGTCCTTACTCCAACCCGAGGTTAACTAAAGGCACTACCATCATTTCCTGTGTCAACACATAATATACGTGTCATCCCAGGGTTTATAAAAATAAAAATAAAAATAATAATAATAATAAAGAAATAATAGTAATAAAATGAGATTATAGTTACAAAGTATGTCAAAATGATCTACTAACCCATCGAGCCCTGTGGAGGAGCGTCGTCCGCCACTTCCCTTCTGTGTCCTGAAAAATGTTAAATAATGGGGTGAGCTAAATGCTCAGTAGGAGGTGCCTAAGACACACCTCTTATGATCCCGTGAATCCACATAGAGAATAGAAAGTATGAGAACAGGATCATATCTCGGGAGTCGAGTAAAACCACTCTATTATCAACAAACATACATATATCACCCAACTACAAAATGCACCAAGTATACCAATGATGTGCCATGTCATGCAATGTCACTCTCCGTTTCCGAAACAATACCGTTTCAACTTCCAAACCGTTAGTGTAATTCGACCCAAGGCACCTCCAAGGCGTCACGAAAGGGGGATTGGCTAACTATCCACGACCACAAGGCACCTCCAACGTGTCGCATCCGGCCTAGTTAACTCAATCCTTAATCCTCTCTAGACTACACTAACACCACGGACCACTAGGCGTCTCCTAGGCGTCCGGTTTTCACAAACACTTTCCAAAACAATTTTCCCAAAATTATTTCATTTCGTTTCAAAACAAATTTTCCCTTTTTGCCCAGTGCAATGAATGAATGCTTCATGCTTTGATCACCATACCATGTCAAGTTCACAATTCCAAACAATTCATCTATATCTCATTTTCATGCTTTTGGGAAAATTAAATTATTAACAATTTTGACAACATAGTATTTGACATTCAAGAAATTCAAGTGCATATAATCAAAATCAATAAATAATACAAGCAATTTCTATCACTTTCAACACATTATATACCTTGTCATGCTCATTATACATAAAATGTCTACAACCATAAACAATACTCATAATTTAGTAAACAAATTAACAACTTTTATAAGAAAACTCACAAAAGTCAAAAAAATTTGTGGATTAGAGACCCCTACCTTGAAAAAGAATTTCTTCACTGGTTCACCAAGTCTCAGCCTCTACAACTCTCAGCTTCTCCCTCAGTACTCAAACTCTTGGCTCTCTGTCTCTTTCTCAAACTGCTCTCCTCTTTATTTCTCTAATTTTTTTTCTTCTGTCTAAGTCACAAAACACCATTAAATAGGCAATTGCACCGAAACCATGCAAATACCAATTCAAAAATCAAAATATCTCTAGTGGACCCTGCCACTTTCTTTTCCTTTAACTTTACTTTTCCTCATTCAGCCGACTTGTTCCCCCTTATCATTTCATTTTAGCTTTTCCCATCATTATCCAACAAACAACACTCAATCAACCACGTGAACAACCCAAATCCAATGAACTTTGGCAACACAATATCTTAGTAGGACCTACAACAAACTTTCCTCTTCCTTTTCTTTTTTTCTTTTCCCCACAAAAATTCGGCAGCCACACTATTTTTGCTTCCTATATATATATATATATATATATATACACACTTTGTGACCACAATCAGTCAGCCCACTTAATGGCAAAATAATCCCCAGTGGGCCTTGCCAAATACTTGACAATTTTCATATCATTTTCTACTCCAATTACTCCAATTACGGCTGCTCTCCTATTCCTTCTCTCAACTGACATCATATATATACAACAAATCAAAACCCATTTCTCTTGGTGGGGCCCGTAACAACCATTTCACTTCTATATCTATTTCTTCTCCCATCAATTCGGCTGGCAGAATACTTAGTGCACCTATATATATATATATATATTATATGCAACAAATTAAATCATAAATAATTAAATCTCCAATTGAATAAATCTCCAAATCAAAATTAAATAATCAATCTTAACAAATTAAAAGTCATGAAATAAATAAAATTAAAACCTTAAAAAAAATTCAGGTTGTCACATTCTCCACCACTTAAAAAGAATTTCATCCCGAAATTCAGATCAACAGTTTCCGCATACCCGAAAACATCTAATCCCAACTTATCATTTAAAGGATACACAAAACTCCTGACAAGGAATCCCGTCTGTTGCACAATCAAGCTCAAACTCAAATCTACACATCCCTATCAGGCCAAACACTCACTATCTACTGAATAGCTACACTATCCCATAACCGCACCAACGACTACCAACTGCACTATACGACAATCATTATACTGAACAATTACAAGATGGCTAAATAACAAATCTCCCAACGACTACATAATCATGAGTCACCAAAATAATAAAATGTATTGTCTTGTATCCAGGACCTAAATCCTCA